ATATGTTTGGTTCTTGAGTGGCTTACGGGATTGTTTGCAAGCTTTATGGCACTTTCATTGTCACACAAGTGTGGGATTTTGGTGAATTGACATTCAAAATCATGAAGGGTTTGCCTCATCCAAAGTAGTTGAGCACAACATGCACCAACTGCAACATACTCGGCCTCGGCGGTGGAAAGGGCTACACAATTTTGCTTCTTTGAACTCTAAGACACTAGGGACCGTCCAAGGAATTGACATGTCCCTGAAGTGCTTTTTCTATCTACCTTGCAACCGGCATAATCGGAATCTGAATAGCCAAGTAGATTGAACTTGGAGCCCTTAAGATACCACAAGCCAAGGTTAGGAGTGTGTACTAAATATCTCAAGATTCTTTTAACAGCCACTAAATGACACTCTTTTGGGTTGGCTTGAAATCTAGCACACATGCACACACTAAGCATTATGTCTGGCCTAGATGCACATAAGTAAAGTAGAGAGCCGATCATGGAGCAATATACCTTGATGTCCACGGTTTTCCCTTCTTCATTTAGATCAAGATGTCCATTGGTTGGCATGGGAGTTTTGATAGGCTTGGCATTCACCATGTCAAACTTTTTTAGCATATCATGGGTGTACTTGGTTTGACTCATGAACGTCCCTTCCTTCATTTGCTTGATTTGAAATCCAAGGAAGAACTTCAGCTCACCCATCATGGACATCTCAAATCTCTTAGTCATGATCCTACTAAACTCCTCACAATACACATGGTTAGTACTACCAAATATTATGTCATCGACATATATTTGGCACACAAATATATCATTTCCAACTTTGTGAGTAAAGAGTGTAGGGCCAGCTTTGCCTATTTCAAAGCCTTGTTTGAGCAAGAATTCCTTAAGGCATTCATACCTTACTCTTGGTGCTTGCTTAAGCCCATAGAGCGCCTTTTAGAGTTTATAGACATGGTTGGGGAACTTGGGATCTTCAAACCCCGGTGGCTGCTCCACATACACCAACTCTTGTATTGGACCGTTGAGGAATGCACTCTTGACATCCATTTGGTATAGCTTGAAGTCATGATGGGCAGCAAAGGCTAGAAGCATTCGAATTGCTTCAAGTCTTACCACCGGTGCATATGTTTCTTCAAAGTCCAAGCCCTCTACTTGAGTGAAGCCTTGGACCACCAATCTCAAGTTTTGATGGTTGGAATCAAGGATTTGCTTGAGGGATGGAGGAGCAACAATGGAGGAGAGAGGGTGAGCTTTGGTTCTGTTCTGTTTCGAGCAGAATGACTGAGCGAAGTAGATGACCGTTGTGGGCTAGGCCTAAAGGGTATAAATACCCCTTGGGTCTAATGGTCAGTTAAGGGCGGCACTGCCGCTCTTAACAGACGACACTGCCGCCCTAGCCAAAACAGGTAAGTTGAGTTGAAATTTGGCTGGCTGTTATGGCTAGGTGAGAGGATGTAAATCTGAGAATTTGAGTATCTGGTTCAACAGTTGACCAACTGTCCTAAAATCCCTCTTAATAGTACGGCTTTCCCTAAACTCAATTTCAAAACATAAAAGAATTTAAACCTTCTTTGAGCTAGGTCTAGCCACCTTTTGTAATTAGGACACCTGCAACCTGTACATCATCCTCATTTTTTGATTGCCTACTTGTCATCTCGATAAATCTCATTAGTCCTCTAATTTGGTGGTCATCTATGCTAAAACCCACAATAGGACTTGATTGCACTTACAGTCTCGCAAAGTAGTCACAATCTATGCAATTAGTTATTTTTTTAGTTTATATTTAATACTCCATGCATGTGTTCAAACATTCGATGTGATATGGTGTAAACTTTTGAGGAGGAACTAAATAAGGCCTAAATCTTTCCTCTTTTCAGCTCCCTATCCCTATAGTTGTAGTAGTACCATGTGGCCTTAAATATCCTTGCAGGCTCTTCTATTCTACTACTCCCGTCTCCAAGGAGCCACACTCTGTCCTCCTGCTCGTGTTTTCCTCTTATTTCGAACTCCCAGCCATGAGCCAAACACCAGCTCTTCCTGCTTTCAGCCAAGGATCTGAGACTTCTCATTCTAGTGGTCGTGGCCACCGCTTTAGGCATCCTTTGCTTCGATGTGCTTGTGGTGATCTGGCTGTCGTTTTACATGCTAGCACACCTCGCAACCAAGGACACCGGTTCATTAAGTGTTCTAAGCATGTAATAGATCTTCACCTCATGCAGTATCTTTTTCCTATTTTTTGGTTTTTGATGATGCTTTTTTCAGGACAATGGTTGTGCTCTTTGGATCTGGGACGACCTCCTTGAGGATTATGTCAACATTCGGTTGTCTCAAGCTGATGTGGTTCATCAGAACATAGTTTTTGGTCTTAGATCTGAGATTGAAGCCACGGCTGTCCTTTTGGCCGAAGCAATGGAAGAGCTTGCAGCTGCCAGAAGCAGTAGTCGCCGTAGGCTTTTTTCTTTTCTGTTCTTTGTTTCGTTGTTTGCTGGATCCTAGCCAAATCATTCAACTGAGCTATACTCCATTGTTTGTAACTGCAGTAATTTCTTAGTAGTTCATGTAGCACTTGTATCTTTGAACTTTATGAACTTGGCTCAGTCTTTAGAACACCAGATCATAGCCAAAGTATTTTTTTAATTACATCTTGGTGCTACCTCCCTCAGTTTCCCATGATTATGTAAATTATGTGCGTGTTATTTAAACAATTCATTCCGCTTTACAGTTGATATATTTTTATCATTCATTTAATTGCGAGTATTTATTTAGAAAACAACGTGTTCTAGGTGTCCGTATTACTAATTTAGAAATTAGGGCAAATTGATGGTTTTATTATAACCAAACCATATTTAAACTGTCATCTAGACATTATCAATTATTTTACTTAACAAGTTTTTGTTAATAATTTTCAGTCCCTGCTGCTTCAGTTTTCTAGCCTTACTGTGTGAATTTTGAAATATTTTAGTCCCAGCCGCTTCAGTATTCTAGCCTTTCTTGTCACCTATTTGTACCGGCATCCTTTTTTTTTGCAACCAGGTACATGCCATGTACTACTGTCCATAAGTTTGACAAGTCTACCTACTGCACCGTTATCTTTTTTTATCTCCATCCATACCTCTCATGTACCTCTCAAAAGTTGGACAAGACTAAACCTGATAGCACATTGTACTATTATATCATTTTCTTTATCCTGCCCTTGTGTCTCTGGTTCTTTTACTAGACACCCGTACCCTCCGAATATGTCACTAGAACTGCATAGTATATTTGTGGAGTTAGTACTGACTTTTTTTAAGGAAAATAACATAAAAAACCTTTTAGATCAGTTATATTTAAATTTTGTGTCCTTAATTTAAATTATGTGTTCTAGTTTGTGCAGTGGGTACATTGTGTTCGACTTGAATTGTTGATTTAGACTGTCCCTTTTTTGCATTTGGTCGCAGTGGCATCTCTCTGTCTTTTTTTCACTCTTTTGGTATAACTAAATTACCCTTATGCGCAAGTGAAATATAAAATGAACTATTTGATATTGGCCGAAGCATTTTGCTATAGGCCCCTCCAATATTGGAACATTTTTTTGTTACATCTTGGTATTATCTGTTTGGATCAGTTCCTCCTTTTTATTTGTCCAGTTTGGTACCTCTTGTCCCCCCATGTTTCGATATTGGCCGAATTAGTATCCCTTATATTTAGGTCTCATATTAACTTGGCACCCCGACATTTTCATAGCTCCCAATTTAAATCATTCCGAGACACTAGGAATATCTCCCATTTTTTTTCATTTGTAAAATGGCCAGTGATGGAAATATGAACTATAAAAGAGCGAACCTTAAGATCTTACAACCGTATTTTATTCAGATTACTGTGTCTATTGACTTTTGATGGATTACTACAACAGCACTATTCGGTGAATATAAAATCTAAAGTTCAGACGTGGCTCTCTTCATAACAATATGAGACGGATAAGTTACAATAATTATTTTCAATTTGACACATAACAGTACACAAGTCAAATTGTTTCTCTAGGCAGTAATCTACATGTGAATGCCTATTTCTTCACAGAACTTAACTAGGTCCCTGCTCCACATCGGGTACTCTACTAGAACTCGATGCACAACGTTGGCTTCTTTTTTTCATGATCCATTGCCATGTCGTGGGCGTGGACTATGAGATCTGCGTATGAGCATATTTTCAAGTAGTCAGGGCAGAAAGGGCAGGAAAATTCATTGTTTTCACGTACTATATAGCCATCTGCACCATTGATTAGCCCTTGAGTAGTTTGATTCTTAAGGTGACGTATGTTTTCATCACTTGCCACACCTTCAGCTGAAACAATCATGTCATCTTCTTCCTCATATAGACTATTAATGAGCTCTAAAACAGCTTTTCCGTCAAATTTGTTGTCATAGGAAATGTCATCTCCAACTCTATATGTAAATATTAGAACAGAGTAAATTATATTAGTTGTTAAAAAGAACATCTTCTTGTAATAATAATCACATAGTATGACATAAAATTAAACATTCACTTGGCATACCTTTCTTTGCCCTTTCCCATGATTAAGCTAGCCTTGCAGAGCACAATACAACATATGTGTTGTGTTGGAGGTTCTAGGAATGGTGGTAGCCTATTATATAGTAAGTTTACTATTTATTATTTTTTCTCTCTTTCTCACAGTAGAATCTTTCACGTGAACTATGTACCATTCTTGAGGTTCTTTTTTTCCTCATGATAATTTTGTGGTACATGCAGCAGTCGCATCCGTTCTCGATTTACTTGGCCCTAACCTTCTATATGCCTTTCGTTCAAATATTTGGTTTAGTACTCGATACCCTCTGGTGAACCTATCTCTCCAGTTGATTATTTGATGGTGTAGTTGACAAGACCGGCGACGCTGCAGTGATTCCCTTAAAGTATTTTTACTTTCCGTCTCGTCGTCCTCAGGGAATCCTGCTCTTTGTACATGTTCGGCAGCGGCACCACACCCCTAAGGTTTTAGATATCCATAGCTAGATGGCCGCCTGTTCTCATCGCCACTCATCATTTATGCTATCAGCGTTCCCTTCGCCACTTCCTTGTCCATACTCTAACTCTTTCTTTACCATGGACGCCGTTCTTAAGGTAAGCATCTTCACCATTCAATTATTTTCAATAGCACGTTTACATTCCTAATATGTACATATTTGTCATTCGCAGAAGTATTTTGGTTTTTCATCCCTACGACCATACCAGCGTGATGTTGTGGACGCAGTTAGAAGGGGTCGTGACTGTTTAGTTGTCATTGCTACTGGTGGCGGCAAATCAATGTGGTATGTGATAATTCATTCATAAGTGCCGGCATCATGAACCGCAGTAAAGTGTTCTTATTTATTATTTACTAAATTCAAGAACTATTATGTATTTTTTGTTTAATATTCTACACTCTAATCTCTCCTCCGCACTCCCTTTTCAACACTTGCAGCTACCAGCTTCCCCCGTTATTAACAAAAAAGACTGCAATTGTCATTAGCCCATTGTTGTCCTTAATGCAAGACCAGGTGGCCCATTTCTCCCTAATTTTATTGCTATATTTTGTTTTGTTATTTTAACAATATAGCATTACAGGTCATGAGCTTGCAGCAAAGAGGGGTGCGTTCTGACTATTTAGGAAGCACGCAAAAGAATCATGCTGTAGTAATGAACTACGCTCAAAGTGGTTTGTATGATGTGTTGTACTTGACACCGGAAAAGGCAATTTCCCTTCCCGATAGGTATTATCATTAATATATATTCAAAGCATCGTTAAGATACTAATCAGTAACAATTACCCACCATTCTAATCGTGTTACTCTCAGTTTTTGGTCTAACATGATCCGTCGTGGCATTTGTCTGTTGGCCGTGGACGAAGACATTAAATATCTGAGTGGGGCCCTGATTTCAGGTATTTCATTAATCCGGATTTCCTTGTCAAATTTTCATTTGCTTATTTCTTATTTTTTTCTTTATATTATGTTCCAAATTTATGATTGAGTACAAAATGCTCCATCGTTTAAGAGCTAAATTGTTTGGTATCCCATTTTTAGCATTGACTGCAACGGCTACTGATAGGTAATACCAGATTTATTATTGAACTATATTAATGTTTTTCCTGGAAAGACATATCTATTTACATTATTTATTTACCAGGGTCCGCGAAGATATTTGCAAATCACTTATCCTACGTGAACCATTCGTATTCATTGGCTCTTTTGATAGACCTAACTTGTTTTATGGAGTAAAATTAATTAGATCTGGCACATGCAGTAACGAAGCAATTGCTGAGTTGATACGAGATGTTCCTCGTCGGGTATCGGCCCGTGAATCAACTATAATATATTGCATCACAATACGTGACACCGAGCAGGCTGGTTTATTTTTTGTTTAGTTTTTTCTTTTATTTTTATTTGTATTTATTTTAATTATTATTTTCTCTCTTTTGGTGTTGATGCTCTTAAATCTCTTGGTGTTGATACTAGGTACATGATGCTCTTAAATCTCTTGGTGTTGATGCAAAAATGTATCATGGACAGATGGATAGTGCTTTAAGAGAGGCTGCACACAAGTTCGTTTTAGTTATAACCAAAATTACTCATTTCTTTGGTTCATTTATCTTTCGCTTTCACTTGTTACATGTAACAATCATTTTCAGGTCATTTGTTACTGACGAGGTATTTGTCATGGTGGCCACTATTGCCTTTGGTATGGGTATAGACAAGCCAGATGTCAGGTGTGTTATTCATTTTGGCTGCCCCAAAAGCCTTGAGTCATACTATCAAGAGAGCGGTAGATGCGGACGCGATGGTTTGCCTTCAACATGTTTGCTTTATTATAGCCGAAGTGATTTCTCTAGGGGTGATTTTTATTGTGCTGCAACTAATACAGTGAGTTTTGCATTTTTCCTTTAAGTTTTTTGTATCGTATTTTCAGCATCTAAACTATTACATTATACAGGAAGCTCAAAAAGAAGTTATCATGTCATCTTTCTTTGCTGCCCAAAGTTATTGTGTCCTTGCTACATGCCGTCGCCAACATATTCTTAATTATTTTGGCGAAGCTGGTGGTGACAATTGTGGTTAGTAGTGAATCCAAATATTTCACATTTATTTTATTCGCATTTGTATATTGCTTTGGTCTTTCATTTTTGTCTTCGTTTTGGTAACCACAGGTAATTGCGACAATTGCACATCAAGGGCCGGCAAGGAGAAAGACTTATCAACCGAGGCTGCGATGTTGCTTGGTTGTGTCAACGAGTGTGGTGGACGTTGGGGCCTAAACTTCCCTATCAACGTGCTTAGAGGATCACATGTATCTATGTTAATTACAACCATCCTTTTCAGTGTTCTTTTTACCTAGTGTATTTGTTATAATTGTTTTATTTTAAACATTAGTGCAAGAAGGTTATAACCAACAATTTCCAAAATTCTGAATTCTATGGCCTTGGGAAATCACGCGAAGCCAACTGGTGGAAAGGTCTAGGTGGAATTTTATTAGCCAATGGTAACTAATGTCATTGTCTGTAGCATATTTGTTTTTTTCGTAATAAAGTCATATTAGCCATTTTGATATATTAGTAAATATAAGTTATGATATTTTTCTCAATGAATATCATTTGATGCAGGTTATCTTAATCAAATCGTCAATGGGTCATACAGATTTGTCAGGTTTATAGTTGTTTTTTTCCCAAATATTTTTCGCATTAATGTTTTTCTTTTGACGGCTCATGATACTTCTTTTTCAACAGCATATCTGCTGATGGAGAGAAATTCCTTCACTCCTACCATTACTCTGGATATCCTCTCATCTTAAGGGTCATAGATGAAATGTTGTCTGACGATGATTACTCCACGTCTAGTGATCCGGAAATCGCTCCTGAGCTCAATTTTCTTTCGAAAGTATGGTAGCGACCTTTTATTTTTCCATGGATTTTAATACATGACTTTGCACATTTCTTTAAAATATTAATGATTTTATTTTCCCAGCATGAATTTTAATACATAATTTTTTTTCTCTCTAGGATGAGATCTTGCTGTACCAAATGCTTCTTGAAGCTCGGAAGACAGCTAAAGACAATCATGCAGCACCGTACTTTCCTATTTTAACAATTCATTTTTTCTTTCCAACTGTTTTTATTTTTCCTGCTATTACTATTTTCATATTAATTATTTTGTTTTCTCTACATAGGTATGGTATTTGTAGTGATCAGGTTCTTAGGAATATTGCTAAATATACTAAATATAGGCCGTCGACTCCTGAGAACTTGTCCCTTGTTGACGGAGTCAATTTGGTAATGTTTTTTTTCATGACTACATTTATATAACTTACAATTACTTAACTATGTCTTCAATTAGTTCACAACACTTCATTGTACCCTGTGCAGAATTTTGTCAATAGGTTCAGTGCTATTTTTATACACTATGTTAAAGATATGGCTAAGGATTTTAATCTCGACCTTGACAACATGGAGATAGATGGATCAGATAATGATGTTGATGCTCCTATATCCTCGGATAATATCGGAGATGAATCATGGGATCTAATTGATAATGAAAGTAAGTTTTTTAATTCCACCGAGTTAGACTTACCTGAAGGTTCAATAGAAAGCGAAATATTTGACATCATCTCCGATCACAATGGTGTAAGTAACAGCTTACTTCCACCCTGTTTCTTAGGATTAATTTCCGCAACATTTGTATCATTCCCACCTTTTTTTTGTTCTTATTTGCAGCTCACCATTGATGAAATCATTTTATCAGTTTCTTGTGAAACTAGCTATCGTGTCGTACAAGCCGTGCAACATCTGGAGTCCTCCTTTTTAATCTATCAGAGAAACGGCCAATATTTCAAGCTGTAGAATAGTACAACTTTGTATTAGGGCCTTAATATTTTCGTACCAAACATATTTGTATGAACAATATTGTATCTCCCTTAATTACCATGGACCATAGCATTTGTCAACTTTTTTTCATTTCACGCAATATTATGTATTCGCTTTTATTTTTATTACAATATTGGTATTTTTTTATTTTATTTACATTCCAATTACATTCCTTAGGGTACCCATGGATTCACTCTTTCTGAAGTCACTCTGAATAGTACGCCATCCCTTTCCTCTCGTTATTTTATTACCACTGCCTTCCCCTGTACCTTCTTTGTTTTTGTTTAGTCTTTTCGAACTGTTTGGCTGTTGGCCACACCACTGCCCATAGGTACTCAAGTAGTCACGAACCATTCCATTGTACCTCTAGGAGCCTATTCTTCCTTGAGAGCGTTGGTTCTTGACATCGTTTCACAGCAGCTGCTCCTCCCATCCACATCTCTTTCTCCAAGCCCTGGTATGACCGTTGCCATCCATCGAAGGCTTGCTGTGTTTCGCCATTCCTTGTATCCAGTTTGTTCTTTTTGCTTTGGTTTCTTATGTTAAATCCGTATTTCCTACATCCTTACTACATTTCTTTATGTTCTTGTGTTCTTTTTAATAATATTGGCTATCGTAGTTCTTTCATCTGTTCAAGCAAATTAATTAGAACTCTGTTGTATTTTGTACTATTTTCAGTTACGAATGTCAGACATGGATAGTGGATCCGGTGGTTCTGATAAACCACGGCGTAGATGGTTGAGCAGATTATCTCAAAACTATTCATTGCATTCACAACATCCCCACAGATCTGTCATTGATACTACTCCTCTGTCAACCGTGCTTGCAAATTCAGTTGATCTAGATTCTGTTACATTTCTTACTTCTCCACACAAGGTTTATCAGGTCATATCAGGTTTTGATGAAAGGAAAAGGAGCATTGTTGAATCTATTGGGTTCGGTGGTCTCCTCTCTCTCCCTGACATTACTTATGAGAACAAATCATTTTATTTTTGGTTATTAAACCGAGTGAAATGGTATCATGGTCATCTGACTGTTGGCGATGGGAACAGTTTGTCTATGACCCCAGAGCACATTGGCAACATCAGTGGCCTAAAATTCTCTGGGATTGACATTTCTGATGATTCACTAGAAACTGTTGATGAGAAGTTGGCTTTCATCAAGTCAAAACTTGCTTTCCTGGATTATGGAAATGGCACTGTTGAATCAGCAGAAACATTTGTCCAGCAGGAATTGCCAAGAGTCTTGAGTAATGAGCATTCAGATAATTTCAAGATTGCCTTTGTCATTTTTGTGATGGGACGCTTTCTTGCTCCAAGTCCTGACCATCCTGATGGTCATACAAATTTTTGGGGTGCTCTGCAGAATCCTGATGAAATCCCTTTGTACAATTGGAGTGCTTATGTCCTTTCAAATTTGCTGGACGCCGCACGTTTGGTGAATTGGGTAATCCCTTATCAGAGGTCATTGAACACAGTTGCTGGTTGTTCGTTAATCTTACAGGTATAACACAGTGCTTATGTTATATTTTTGAATGACATTAACTAGTCTTGGTCTGTTGACATAGAATTAATTACTCGCTATAATTCTTTATATGAATCATGCTTATTCTCATAAAATCCATGCATTTTTTTTCCAATGTAGATTTTCTACCTCAATAACATCGATCTAGGTGAATTGAATCTCCCACATGACATGTTACCACGTTGGAAGAATTTTTCTAATGATCGCTTCAAAGAGATGATCGAAGCAGATAGGGTTGTCCCTTTGGTGGCTTCAAGTACCTCAGAGTTTGGTCGTAACTAGGTATTGCTTGTTCAACCACAAAAATTTCTTAGTTTAGAAATCGGTTGAATAATTTCTAATCAGGTTTCACAAACATTGATAGGTTTTGCGATCAAGTAACACATGTTATATGTTCGGGAATCAACAAATGATCATTGCTGCACCCACTGGTTTTACTCCTTCACCACCACTGTACCTGTCAGAACAAAAGCGTACAATAAGGGATCAAACCACAAGTCCTGTGCTCAACAATCAAGATAGAACATATTATTCCAACACTCTTTCACCACTACCAACCCTTTTTAAAACTACACCAAGTCTTGGAACCGATGTGCTAGATTTTGCTGCTATAGTCAGGGAGAAGTTCCAAGGAAAGGTATTATGTTTTCATGCACGCACATTATATTTTGTGGTACTGCAGTTTGTTTTAATTAGTTAACTTATATTCACCTATACTTGATTTTAGGTCGATGATAAAATTCTTGATGACTTGAAGCTGTACAATGCCAGATGCTTAAATCATATATACAAGTCATATCGCTCGATGGCAGCTTCTATTGTCAAAGAAAATGCCAACATTGCCATGAAGTTATTAGAAAATAGCAATTGTTTTTCTACAAGGAACACTTCTGAGCCAGCAAATAATAATTGTGACACCAGACGTAGGAGCTATAAAGATTTTCTCAGCGGAACTGATTCAAGTACAGAAGGTGAGCTGTCTTTTTCATTTTGGGATTGAATTTGATCAAGGTTTATCGTTTTGAACATATATGCATTCTCTGAAACAGGTGAAGATAACATAATACACTCCAAGATGCCAAGGACTAGGATACCTAGTGTAACTGTTGTAGGCGGCAGCAGCAGCACTAAAATGCTAAAAGGCATGAATAATTTTCAGCGTCATCACAGAACTCTAAGTAAGTTTTGAAAATAGGTGATCTCTACATTCTCCATCTTTTCAGCTTGATCACAGAATTCTAATTCCTTTCATTTTTTCCAAAATGCACAGGTATCAATGATCAATGTCAAAGCAAGCAACCTGAAAGTGAATCTCGTCCTAACAGAGAGCACACTACCATGTTGCATACAAATGTTCCTAGATTTGTTAACAATGTTGCATATCCATGCTCACTTGCTGTTAATAGTTCTAAAAAACAATTTAGGTCTGTTGGTTTATAGGAAGACCAACCCAATACTCCTCCTGCTTCTTCATGTGGAGCTGTTGCTGGTAATGAACTTATTCCTAGAGAGGAGACTGATTCTAGCAAAAGATCAGCAGACCAGTCATTCACTGGTTCTTTCAAGTCATTAGGATATGACACTCCTGGTGCTAATAGTTCTCGGTACCAAATCACGTATGTGGGTTTACAGGAAAAGCAACTTAATACACCTCCTGGTTGTCCAAGTACATCTTCTGATGGTAATGCTATTTTTTCAAATGAGCACACTGACCCTAAGAAAATTCAAGAAGATAAGTCACTACCTGGATCTATGAATGCTAGAGGTTTTGACACTCCTCAGGCTACCCTTAAGATGACTAGTTTTTCACCTAACATATCACCAACAACTGAGAATAGGATTTACTCTGGTGCGTGATTGGGTATAAGGATGCTCGAGTCAATGAATGCAATAGATTTGAATGCTTCTTCCTTTGACTCTGATTACAACTGTTCTTTTGAGTCGAAAAAAACAGCTCACCACGGCTATTTTGCTTCACCTCACTGGTCAATGAAATTGAAGCACCCTGAAATAGACCCATTCATCAGCAATGAGTTTTTTCAGTGGCTATCTACTACTAGTATGAAGGACCTGGATAGGTACACTTTTTTCCTTTTGAAGCATACCATTGCTATTTTCACATGTAAACTTTAGCCTTGTTTTTCCCAGGGACTGGATTATTCATGGTATTCCTAGGTTGTTGAAGATTGATGGATACAATTTGAAAGACCAGTTTTGCTCAAAAAAATGCATGACCTTTGATGTAATGGATGTATCAATACGGCGAATGAAACAACTCGACAAAGCTATATATCCTGCTGACGTACCATTGAGATGGCGGCATATGCTTGAGTCAGACTATGCAGTGTGTACTTTTCCTTTATCTAAAAAAATATTAGTTAATTTTCTAATTAATGCAAAGCTATTTAAATACATTTAGTTTTCTATTATGCAAGTATATTTTTATTCTCTCCCATAATAGTCTACTTTTTCTCTTGAATGTAGCTCCATGTTCTCGGTGCTGAAAATCCTGTCGAAAACAAACCAATCAGAGATCAGTTTGTTGGTCCAGCTGTTGATTACGAGCTTTCAAATTGCCGCATGGTTCGATATTATTACATAAATTTTTGTTCGGCTGATCTCCATTCATTTAACTTTAAATTCATACCAGTTTCTTTTCTTGTCAGTTTTTCGTTCCGATGTTTGTTAATGGAACTTGGTGGTGTTATGCCTGGGATTTGAAGGCTGGTGTCGTTTTTATTATGGATCCTTCAGTTGGTATTGAGAAAAACAAAACCAGATACACATCATATGTGAGCCCAGCAAGTCAAATCTCACATAACAAATATGAGTAATATCAAAAGACAATGCGTAAATACATAGCGTATTAGTATAAAGAAGACAACCTCAGAGTATAGACAGCGGAAAGACAACTTTGATCTTTAGGTGAAGACTCCAAATCCACAGAGACAACTAACTGGTTGATCACAAGCCTAACTCCTCCAGACTAGCAATCTGGTATCCATCCAGAATTTTTTCAAAGTATTGAAAAGTAAAGCAAGCGTAAGTACATGTCGTACTCAACCAATATAACATGGGATTCATGAGGCTCAAAAGGCTGGCACTGGTTTAACTGCGATTACCTTTTATTGAGTCATGATTTTAGCAATAGGGTAGCAACAAGTTTATCCACGAGCCCATGTAAACACATGATCAGGTAAATATGAATAATGAATAGCATAAACAGTAATCATTAGCGAACATCTTTATCATCAGTAGCATTAGTGTTCATCATCTATTCCATAAATGTTTCAAGGCCGCTCGTGACCGTGAGCACGGCTGATATACCAGTTTTACACTTTGCAGAGGTTGTACACTTTCACCGTGAGTCGTGATTTACCTTTTCGTTCGAGGCGGCCAACCTCTTGACCCACTATGAAGGAAGGTTGACAGGGTTCACTATGAAACCTTTCAAAGATTCGTCTAACAAGTTAGGGCCATTAGATTCACTCGGCAAACAGATATAGAGCTCCCCTTCTCGATGGCACAATGACACGCAGCCTATACTCAATGGGATAGAGGCCACACTATACCCGATTCGTCAAGCCATTCTTACGCTAATAAAGGTAACCACTAACAAGCTAGAAAATATCTTCATACCGAGCTAAAGCCAGAGCCATATAGCCCTCACAACTGTACTGTAAGTCACGGATGATCACTTACAGATAAGTCCTTAGGGAGAGGAATCTAAAGCACCATAATACAACACAATGCTCTAGCCCCCTTGATTCCATGTTGCTAAAAAAACATCTTTTAATGTTTATTGCATATTCCATTAGTCAAGTTACAAGATCATGGTTATAGTTGAGCACTAGCATCATACTACCCAATGCAATACCCCAAAGGTATTAAGGTACAGGGTAACAAAGTACTAGGAAATCCTTAGTGACAGTCAAGGTAGACACATGCAGCATGAATTAAATGATTAAAAGTGTATAGGATAACAAGGAAGATCACATGCTATACTTGCTTTTTACTTGCTTTACAACTAATGGTCAACTCCTCGTAGAATCTTCGATCTTCTGTCCTTTCGGTCTCCGGCGCTTACGGACAGCTCTTCTACTCGCAGATCATAGCACACCAATAAACATACAAGCAAACAAATAGAGACAACTAAGAGCAGTACACCACATGAGACAAAACAACGTACTAAAAGAATGCTAGGTGCTACGGTCACAAGATCACAAGAAACACCGAAAAACGATGCTACCGTTAGAAAGAACGCCTATCGAAAAGTTTACATTATAAAAGGAAAATAAAGACTACGTGCTTGATTTATTTTAATTAAATAAAACCATACGATGGTTATTAACTCAGATTAGTTAAATTATATTTTGGTTCAAAGCCGAGTTAAAAGTAATCATGTTTTATTTATAAATATTGCCGTATAAATTAAGCAAGTTAAATTTTAAATTTGCAAAGATAAAAGAGCACTGAACATCTATTCAGATTATATGTGATGCATGTTTGAGCTAAGTAAATTTACAATTAAAAACATATTTTTATTAGGAATTAACCATATTAAAATTGTTTGAAAGACCGTGGTGTAGAACCTATGTTTGTTTTTAATTTAGAAAACTGGTAGCATGCACACTAATCAAATTAATATTTAAATTATAAAGTTCAGGGATATTTGATATGATAAACGTTGTCGCTAATGTGTGAACTACATCGTCACGTACTGGAGCAAAGAGAATAGACTAAAAGCCGATTCGGAGACGAATAAACGGCAGGATAAGAACTGCAGAGATCTAAGTGGAAACAACATGGAAGATGGAATGATTATTACTGAATAAACATTCACAGAGGGAGAAAAAGACCTGTCTGTGAATCATTGGAGAGCATGCATGCAGTTTGCACGATCGTAAAAGGCAGCACCTTGAATTCCTAGGACGGCTTCTGCTCCGGCAAGAGAACATGCACAGCTTCAACAGCAAGGAAGGATGACGTAAAGCACCTGAACATGGTGTCCGGTGATAGGCACATGGCGATCCTCAACACATGAAGATGACCGGCTTCTGGAGAGTCTGCACCGCCAGTGGCTTGGACTTGCTCGTCTCACGCAACGGTTGAGACGCAATAAAGCCGATGGAAACGAGGACGACCGGTGAAGGCGTTCATTCAGCCTGTTCGTTATTTGGTTTCAGCCAGTCCAAACCAGTCAGCCAACAGTGTTTTTCTCTCACAATAAACCAGCACCAGCCAGTCCAAACCAGCCCAGAAACCAACCAGCGAACATGCCGATTGCATCTTTGGGAACATAGGAGATCCGGCGACTTGCTGCTGTAACTAAAAGGCGATCCAGTTCACACCGTAGCCAGGAGGCTGAGAAGTCTAGGACGCTCATCATGAACGACAAGCAGCTTGCCGAGGTAAAAAAGATCGGTGGCGGCGGCGCATATGATCCACGTCGAAGGACAAAGGCAAAGTCGCATAGCCTGGCTGAAATCCTCTCTGACGATGGACGTCGCCAGTGCCAGCACGTACAGGCGGCGCGGCACCGGGTGATTGTTGATCAGCAACAAAGACTCGATCGGACGAGCCACGTTGGAGATCGGTAGGAACATGGCGGGCGGCCTTACTTGTTGCCGAGGAGAGTATGGCCGGGCTGGGTAGCGCGGCAGCTATGGTGACGGCGAGAGGAGGAGAAAAATCTAATTTACTATACGAGAGATTTTCCAAAACTAGGGACTTCTATTACGGTAGTTTTGATGTGCTTTGCCCAAAGAGTTGGTACAAATATATAGGGAGAAAAACTCCCCACCTCTAGGTCAATTAGCGATACGGTACTAATTGACGTCGCACCATCCACCTGTACTAATGGGCCTAAATAAACATTAAAGCCCATTAGTAAATAAATACATGTGCCTTTAGGATTTATTAGGATTATTGCACATGAACTTCGAGGGACTATGGAAAATTGGGCATGCATTTTCCAAATTTCGAGATTAATCAATATCATGAAATAAAAATAATTCTAGAAAGTTTAGAATTACCATTTATATCACGAAAAATGCTCTGAAGCTTAGAAAAATTCCTGAAAAAATCCTAGAGATAGATTGAAGGATGAGGAACTCAAATAAAATATTTTGAGCTCCTGATAGGATAATTTTGGAGCATCTAAAAACTAAATTATGCTTGCAGACAATTAGGAACAAGTTCCAGAAAAAGCCGGAAAATTTCCCGAGAAGTTTGTAGGGTTGATTGACGGACGAGGAACTAAAAGTAGTGATTTGCGTTACAAAGAAAAGATTTTAGGAAGCTCCCAACGAAAACTTGAGCCGAGAAACAAAGAATTTGATTGTAGAAAAGGTAAAGGCGTGCCGGAGAAGGAAAATTGACCTACTAATGCATTTTAAAGACTTTGCTCACTCTCAACACACAAAGAAACAACAAGCAAACATCACATCATCCAAACACCCTTCAAAAATAGAAAACTTTGAAAATTCACATTTTTCCTATAACTAAATTTGCGCTAGCTCAAACTAAACTTGGTAAATTTTATCCAAATATTAAAATAGTTCATTTTATTTAGTGTTTTCTATGCACAACCCAAATCGGAAATTTTGGGGTGTGACAATCTACCCCACTTAACAGGAATCTCGTCCCGAGATTCGGAGAGACTAGGGAGAAAGATAAAGAAGATCTTCACGCCTCCATACTTCCTTGATTTAGGATTCATGAGATGAAGGAATGAACTTGCATGATAAAGTGGATTTGGGAGTTGCACAGGATAGCAAGGAAGTAAAGGTCAACGATGCTTTGTAGAGGATGCTACCCCACTTAACAAGAGTTTTGCTAAACTTTGAATATTCCATACGAAGATCCTCGTGTTGGTGTAGTCTTCAGGTTCTTCCTTTGGATCACAAAGATAGGGACGACAAACAAGCAACACACCAAATAAGACAAGCATGCATCACAACATCGAAACTACACGTGCTTCTGTAGCAATGGTGGGCTTTCCAAGGAGTGGATTATGATGAAAGGGCATCGCAAATTTGAATTAGGTGAGATCAGAAAACTTTAGTAAACCAAAGAAATAAAAATCAAGCAGATAAGAAGCAATAGCTCAAAGGAAGCTATCAAGGAGAGAAGAAAATAGGACAAGGATAAGAAATAATCAATTCAACTAGTCAAGGAGATGAAAAAGTAGTTTTGTAGCAAATTCTAAACCTTAGAACGACCAGTTTCTACTAGTCTTGTGTCCTACAGTTAGCATTGCTCTGATCCTTCAGTTGGTATTGAGAAAGATGATATAGTTTTCAACAAACATAGAGGCACAATTGACCAATTGTCTAGTTCCTTGTCATGCATTATAACTGATCTTTTCACTAGATGGTTACCTAAGTTCACTTCCACCAACTTTGTTGTTTTACGCACTCCTGGAATAGATGAAAATAGGTTAGTACTCAACTGATTTGAATTAGCAGTAATCTTCTACTCTATTGCTTTTTACTGCATTGCTTTATTAAAGTCCTCTTTTTCCTTTTAGGAATGATTCTGGTATGATTACCTTGTTTTGTTTGTGGAACTTCGCTGGCAGCAAACTTTCCATCGATTGTACTCAGGTATGTTCATTGAACAGTCGCTTTAATTTCTTACCCTAGATTTAATATAACCTTTTATTATTATTTTTATGTTCTCCAGAGTAACCTCAACCAGTTCAGATCATACCTCTTGTACCAGCTGCTGGAAATGAATGATAACAGTGGTTGGTCTCCCAGTACCTTTGTCAAGATTATCGACTGAACGAGCTCTTGGGAATGAATGAAGACACTGGTTGGTCTCCAAGTGCATTTTTTGAAGATAATTGTGTGAAGCAACTACTGGCAGCATGAAGCTCTTGCTTGTTGTTTCTCTTTTTCAGCTGCTTTTATTTTCCTTTTGCCCATGCTGTCACTGAAGTAACCATTATTACTCTTTTGCATATGATGTAATTCACTACTGATTCGGCCATGTGTTTAAGCGCTGGATTAAACACTTTGTCTTTCTTGCCATGAAGTGTACCATTTTATATAGTAACCATGCATTTTAGTACATTCGTTCTTTCTTGTATCACATTCTTTTTACTGACCTTGTTTGATCACATGTTTTTTTTTATCACCTACATGTTAGCACATTTACTTTTCTAGGAGTAAAAAGGTTTATAATGTTGACGGGCTGTTTGTTTGCTGTGCTAAACCTTGTGTACCGTGATTTTAATTTACTTTTTTGTAGAAATGGTACATGGTGCCTAGTTGATGCTAAGTATAGACGCTATCTATAGGTAACTAAATTCGTTAAGGTTTCTTTTGTTGTTTCTATCGTTCAATGCACACAAAAAATGAGCTTTTGCAAAATTAGCAACTTAACTCTTAAAATGTATGGACACGTGTTCATAATATTAACAGTCTTGGCAAAAAAAATTCCATCAGATAATAAACAATTCAAGTTTTCAGTCTTATTTTTAAAACTTATAATATCTGGGTTTACAAAAAAACTAGACTATCGAGGATCAAGATTAAGCACAAAATTATATCACTAATGCTAATCAGTTCTATTGGAAAAATGGAAGAAATGATGTTTTAGTAATCGGTACCTGTCTATACTGAATATCATTTTTTGTTATCTACTGAATTTTAATGAATGTACGAAGTACTATCATGAGTGATAATCAATTTTTTTTAAACAGAAAAATTGATTTAGAAAATGGTTCCTGCTTGTACTAAATATCATTTTTTGTTACATTCTCCAATGTCTTTAATGCATTAGTATTACTATGTGATGTGTATCACCTTCTGTCCTATCAAGAGAATCTTAATTGGTGATTGTTCTAGTGACTAATTTTGACTAAATAATTACATATTTTATAGACACTATCTATCCATGCTCGTTCTAGTCACTCACTATTCCTATATCATAACTAATGATCATTTTAAAGTTCAGTACTTCTAAACATTAGAAGTATTTTTGATGAATTTGTTTGAATTGAGAAGTGTTGATTGCACAAAAAATTATGTCCTAATTGGATAAGATCAAAATGTAGGGTCCTTCAAGCTAGTGACAGTGGTAATCAAAACCAATAGGTTGTTGAGATTCTACAGGAGTAATCTAGTGTGCCTAGTACACATGTCATGGTTTTCACTGTACACTGGTTTTAAAGGACATCACACTGTTCATGCTGCTTTCTGCATCGGCTATCTCTGCCAAGGGAAAAGGGAGTGCGCTGCTCTTTGATGCTCTGCTATGTGCCATGTCTATCTCAGACAAGACCGAAGACGTGGTGCACATTTACTTGGGGTACCAATCACCTACATGTTAGCACATTTACTTTTCTAGGAGTAAAAAGGTTTATAATGTTGACGTGTTGTTTGTTTGCTGTGCTAAACCTTGTGTACCGTGATTTTAATTTATTTTTTTGTAGAAATGGTACATGGTGCCTAGTTGATGCTAAGTATAGACGCTATCTAAAGGTAACTAAATTCGTCAAGGTTTCTTTTGTTGTTTCTATCGTTCAATGCACACAAAAAAATGATCTTTTGCAAAATTAGCAACTTAACTCTTAAAATGTATGGACACGTGTTCACAATATTAACAGTCTTGGCAAAAAAAAAACCATTAGATAATAAACAATTAAAGTTTTCAGTCTTATTTTTAAAACTTATAATATATGGGTTTACAAAAAAACTAGACTATTGAGGATCAAGATTAAGTACAAAATTATATCACTAATGCTAATCAGTTCTTTTGGAAAATGGAAGAAATGATGTTTTAGTAATCGGTACCTGTCTATACTAAATATCATTTTTTGTTATCTACTAATTTTAATGAATGTACGAAGTACTATCATGAATCATAATCAATTTTTTTAAACAGAAAAATTGATTTAGAAAATGGTTCCTGCTTGTACTAAATATCATTTTATGTTATATTCTCATATGTCTTTAATGCATTAGTATTACTATGTAATGTGTATCACCTTCTGTCCTATCAAGAAAATCTTAATTGGTGATGGTTCTAGTCACTAATTATGACTAAATAATTACATATTTTATAGACACTATCTATCCATGCTCGTTCTAGTCACTCACTATTCCTATATCATAACTAATCATCATTTTAAAGTTCAGTACTTCTAAACATTAGAAGTATTTTTGATGAATTTGTTTGAATTGAGAAGTGCTGATTGCACAAAAAAATTGTGTCCTAATTAGATAAGATCAAAATGTAGGTTCCCTTCAAGCTAGTGACAGTGGTAATCAAAACCAATAGGTTGTTGAGATTCTACAGGAGTAATCAAGTGTGCCTAGTACACATGTCACGGTTTTCACTGCACACTAGTTTTAATTGACATCACACTGTTCATGCTGCTTTCTGCGTCGGCTATCTGTGCCCATGGAAATGGGAGGGCGCTGCTCTTTGATGCTCTGCTCTATGCCATGTCTATCTCAGACAAGACCGAAGATGTGGTGCGGTACCTGTACAGGATGGTGAACTACGATTCCCTATACAGCTCCACGCTTCCTTTATAGTGAATAGCATTGGTGGCAGACAAAAAAATGTTATTCCTAAGGGGGCAGCAAGAAAATATCTACCGTTGGTTGCATTCTTCCTTGGCTCGCTATTGCTTCCCCATTCTTCTTCCAACTTCATCCACATCAGTGCACCTCGCTTTGTTAGTCACTTGTAGTCCCAGTACTCTTCCATCGAGCATCCATCTTCCAGATCCCTCCCTAAAAGTTGTATGTTGTCTTCAATGCATTTTGCTTCCCCTCCAGTTCGAAATATCACATAAATAAACATTTCTTGTGTACGAACTCTTGTAGATCGTAAGCATCGAAGGAGAAACGAAAGAGATGGAGGTCAGAGGTGCTATTGCATCAATCAACACTCCACTTCGACTGCTGGCCGAGGTACTTTTTTTTGGAAGGATTTGATGTAAAAGTTGATATTTTAAAATTTGGCGAGCTTCTTTTTGCCACTGCTGAATTTTCTTATTGTTCTATTTTTACAGATTAGGATGGATTATTTGTGCCATATATTTGAATCTTGATTCCTTTTGCTAGATTATTTTAATATACGTTCTTGTTTTGAAAATATAGTGAGGCCACAACACACTCAGCACAACTATTTTATGAGGTCCTAGGTGGACTTTGCAGGGCATTGTGTCCAAAAGTTTTTGCCCATGCTTAGAAAAGCTCTGCTATTCCAAACACAAGAAATGAAACCAACATTCCTGTTTAAATCAACTCCTCCAATAATAGGTATATTGCAATTTGTTTACAAACTATTGAACAAAAATCAGGACGATACATGAAAAGAGTTACACTTCTCAAACATGATAACACATTGTGCTACCAACTAGACCCCTTTTCTTTTTTGAGCCATTACTTTGTCTTCTTTTAACACTACTAGTTGGTTATAACCAATTCAAATCATTCTGAGATACTAGGAATACGAAAAGCATATAATAGCCGATAGTTTATTTTTGTGCCATTTTTGGATGCAGCTGCAAGCATATTGAGCTTCTGAGTAGTAGGAGCAACAGTTGGACTATATGCAGCTGCATGTATGGTTGCAAACGATTTAGATATACCAACTAGGGCCATTTTTTTTCATGGGTCATTGTTGGGCGCAACAAAATAACTATTTCTCTGTATATATGCTACGGCTGCCTTATAATTGAATTATCAGTAAACTGGTTATGGAATTGGTTGTTTGCAGAAAAAACAGTTGGTAATGGCAAGATATAACACAACAATTGTGATTCATTAAAATTTTGTGTTGATACGGTGTGGAGACAGTAAAATGAAGAAATGTAGTTTCATATGGTTTTCTGAAATTTTAGTAATGGAAATATATCTGTTTACTTAGGTATCAAAGAAGTAGCCGGTGGAAATCCCTATTAATCTTGTCCACCAAAATTGACCATGCAGGGGAAGGAGCAGGTTATCAAGGTTCACTATAAGACATTGCTAATAAAAAGAATGGCTGCTCTGGGAGTTACAACGCCACCTGTTTTCTCGGCACTTGATTGTGGTGTTGAAGGTTTTAAGGTTTCTATAAACCTTGATTTATCCTTTGGCAATGAAAGCAACATGAAACTCATTGAAGGGAAACCATTTCCATCAAAAACTCTAGCTGAAAATAGTGCTGTGATGATTACTTTCAGACACCTAGAAGAGAAGTCCATGATTAAGGTCCTAGACTTTAGCAGTAGAGTTTCAATGAGTTTCAGTGTTTACAACACCTACAGTCATGTCCGTGAAGCAATCGATTCAGTTATGGAGGTGCTAGCTTAGTTTGAAACTACCTTTGGCAAATGCAAGGATTTAGCTATGGAACTTGAAGCTTTGGGGCTGGAAAAAAATGTTGGCGGTCTTTTTGGAAAGGGACAATTATATGATGGAATTAAAGACTTTGTGTCAGATTTAGTGAAAGAGTTTTCAGTCAAAGGTTCAGCTGTTAGATCAAAGATAAGCACTATAGAACTTGAGAGGATTAAATATCATAAAAATAAGATAGAAAAAGGCAAGCTGCAGCACGCAAGGTAAACTTTAACAAATATCTGGCTTTCTTTAGTAACTTTTGTCTAATTTTTGGAAATTAGTATCATAGACTTAAACTTGTTTATTGTTTCAGTGCTATTTGAAGAAGGTGCTTTTGTCATCCAAGGTCTTGCTTGATTATGTGCTATCATACCTGGGTTTGAAGAATGCCAAGTATAGCAATGGTCCAGATGGCCATGGTATGGTCAATGTTGTGGTTAA